GGGTTAGAGTGCAGTGGTGTCTGTCATCATAGCTCACTGTAACTTCAAACTCCTGGGCTCAAGTGATCCTCCTGCCTCAGCCTCCTGAGGAGCTGGGACTACAGGTACATCACTGTCTAATTTTTCTATTTTTAGTAGAGACAGGGGTCTCGCTCTTGCTCAGGCTAATCTCAAACTCCCGACCTCAAGCAATCCTCCCACCTCGGCCTGCCAGAGTGCTAGGATTGTAGGCGTGAGCCACCATGCCCAGCCATTAAATGGCTTTTGAAATCACTGAGAGTACTGAAGAAACAGACTGTGGGCTGAGCTTCCAGGAATGTCACTCAAAGCTACTGCCACAGCTACTACCTTTACAGCTTCAAAGAGTTCTGGGAAGTGTAATTTTCAGCTTCTTCAACTGTATTATTCTGTTTGGGCTACCATAACAAAATACCAGACTAGGTGGCTCAAACAACAGAAATTTATTTTCTCACAGTTCTAGGGCTAGAAGTCCAAGATCAATGTACTGTCAATGTTAGTTTCTGGTGAGGCTTCTCTTCCTGGCTTGCAGCCACCTTCTTGCTATGTCCTCACCTGGTCTTTCCTCTTTGTGTGCACAGACAGAGAGATCTCTGGTGGCTCTCTTCTTATAAGGGCATCAGTACTATCAGATTGGGGCCCCACCCTCATGACCTCGCTTAACTTTAATTACCCCCCTAAAGGCCCTGTCTCTAAATATAGCCATATTAGGGGTTAGGGCTTCAACATATGAATTTTGGGTGGACACAATTCAGTCCGTAACACCAACTTATTTCAACAGGAAGCATAATCAAAGAAAGTTGGAATGGATATTGAGCAAACCAATTCACAATCTCCACCATAGCTTTCAAAAGCATAGGTTATTTGTTGCAGCATTATATGTAGTAGCAAAAGATTGGAAGAAATATAAGGGCCCATGGATGAGGAAATAAATAATGGTATATTTACACAATGAAATACTATGCAACTGTTAAAAAAGAATAGGAGAGCTCTAGGATAAATGTCTGTAATAGAAAACTCTCCATAATATGTTGTTAAGTGAAAAGAAAAAAATAAAGTCTAGAACAAAGTGAATAGTGTCAACGGAAAAGAAGCCAAACTCTGTAAAATAATTTAAAGAGGTTTATTCTGAGCCAAATTTGAGGACCATGGCCCAGAGCCACACCCAAGAAGCCTTGAGCAAGTGGGCTCACTGTGGTTGGGTTACAGTTTGGTTTTATACATTTCAGGAAGACAGAGGTTACAGGTAAAGTCATAAATCAATACATGGAAGGCATACATTGGTTTGGCCTGAAAAGGTGGGACATCTCAAAGAGCAGGGGAGTTGACTTGTGATTGGGGCCTGACAACAGCTTCCCCCACCAAGCCCACCAAGAACTCAGGAGCTGAAATGGTTCATTTAAGAGTTATCCTGTTTGGGGACAAAATGGCCAGGCTTTTATACCACTGCCTTGATCAGTCACTGGATGTGGGCCTCCTTGGAAAGGGTGTGAACTTGGGAGAGGCTCTTGCCTGCAACTGAAGCAATCCCTGAAGGGGCCAACACCTGAAAGCTTTCTGCTCACAGCACTCTCTGAAGTTGGGCAACACTTCCTTCCTTGGAATCTGGGTGACTCACCTCTCTGTCTGTTACTCACAGTCTATGTGATCAGTCTTCTTGATACATCTCTGATCTTATCTCTAACTTGCTCATTTGACTTGTTCTGCTCCCTACTGTTTCTTGAGCACATCAAGCATGTTCCTACCTCAAGATCTTTTCCTTTACTATTCTGGTGTCTTAATTATTCACCCCTTAGATTACACTGTGGCTCATGCCCTCCCTTCCTTCATATTTCTGCTGAAATAGCCCTTATCTGAGAGGACTTCCCTGACTATCTTAACTAAAATAGCACACTTTCCCCAGCATTCTAGCATGTCTGTTTCTTTAACTTGTTTTACTTCTTTTTCTATTAATAACGCTCATCACCTCTTAACATGTATTTCTTTGTTTAATTTTTATTATTGTTCATTGATGGTCTCCCCACATTGTTTGGTACACTGCTGGATCCTCAGGGCCTAAGATAACACAGTAGCAGACACAAAGTAGGCTTTCAACAAATATTTGTTAGACAAATGAGTGAAGGAGTCAGACACTGTCCTAGGTTCTAGGATAGAAATGTGAGCAAAAATGGAGGTGGGCTCTGCCCTCATGGTGCTTGCTGTCTGGATGGGGAGGCAAAATAATGCATCAATCACACAAACACATACAACATTGCAGTCACGAGATGGGCTGCAATGGGAAGGAATGATACGAGGAGAGCGTATAGCAGGTATTTGACCCTGTTAGGAAGGGCATGGGAAGCTTGTGTGAGCTGAAATCTGAAGGATGAGTAGGTAAAGGAAGATGATAGAATCATATTTATCTTTTCAAAAGATCACTGTGGATTCAATGAAGAGAACAGATGAGAGGGAGCAAGAATGGACATCTATAGGATTATTAGGAGGCTATGGAAATCCTTCAGCTGAGAGGTGATTGTTGTCTGAACTAGAGGTGGCTGTGGTAAATACGCATCTGGATTTGAGAATCATTTATGAAATATACAATAGATGAGGCTTATTTATGGATTGTATATGCAAGGTAGCAAAGGGGAGTGACAAGAGGGACTTCCGGGCTTCTACATAACTGGAGGAATGGTTGAGAGAAAGAATATTAGAAAAGGAATGAAAGGGGCAGCCTTGCAAAAATAACAGGAAAACACCTAATCCTACAATTTCCCCAGTAACAGTTAAAGATCAATCCTGTGAGTTATCTCACTAACAAGAATTACCCTGCAGGAGTTCTGTTTTGCACAACTTCTAAAAAGAGCTGAATGGACAGAAAAGAGACATAATCTCTCTTTCAAAATTGTTTTTTGAGAATCTGCTTTTAGAGTTCCTGAGTAAACAGCAGAAGAACAAACTACAGCCTGAACCATATCTAGAGGACGGAGTCACATCTCCTGTGAAAATCCCTTCTCCAAGGAAAGGCAGGAAACCAAGTGTTGAACTCTGACATCCTGCTGCCACTTTTGTTATCAACTGCCATCACTATTTTTTCTTTCCCTTAAAATCAGCAAGCCACTTGGCCTCACTGCTGGCTTCCCTTTTCTCTTTCTTTGGGATGCCACGCCATCTCCCTGCTCTCTTTCTTCCCCCTTTCTTTTCCCTCTCTCTTTCACTCTCTCTATCTCATTCACTCTCTCTCCTCTAAGAAGGATAAAACAAACATTTTTACTTTTATATCTTAATTTCTGCATGAGAAATCTTTCTCTACTCATGCTGTGAGCACCCACTAGGCTTTCCACCCTAACAAGGAACAGGTTTATTTTATTCTGTGTTTATATGTATATATGGGGGAGAACAGGGAGAGAGAAAAAAGATCATGAATTTGATTTTTGACATTTTGGTTTTGAGGTGTTATTGAGACCTCCAATATCAGATGTGAAGTAGACCATTGGATTATAAGAGTGAAGAGCTCAGATGTGTAGCCTGGGCTGGGAACGTGAATTTTTGAATTGTCTGCTTAGGTAGTGTTTGAAAATGTGGGAGTGGCCAGAGAACATTCAGTGATAAGAGGAGAGGAGTGGAGTGACCTTGAGGAACCTCAACACTTAATGCAGACCAGACTTGGCAAAGAGACTAACAGGATTGAGTAGAGATGTCAGAGGAAAAGGAGGAAAATGTGGTATCACCTCAAAAGAGTGTTTCTAGAAGAAGGGAGTCCTCAGCCACCTCAAACTCTTGAAAAAGGACCTGAGAATTGAAAAATACCAATTGCACTAACAACCCGGAGGTCAGTGGTGATGTTAGGGATTTGTTGCTTTTGTTGCAGGACAATTGTTAAGGGGAGTGGAGAAGCAATGAAATGGAAACATTGTGAGTAAAAAAAAGAAGAGAAAAGAAAACTGAGGGACTATTTGGGGATGGGGTGGGGTAATTGAGAGCTTTGTTGATACTATGAAGTTTCCTAGAAGGTGGGAAGGAAAGTGAGTACCAGTAAAAGGCTTTTTTATTTATTTATTTATTTATTTTTTTTTTTTGAGACAGAGTCTCACTGTGTTGCCCAGGCTAGAGTGCCATGGCGTCATCCTAGCTCACAGCAACCTCAAACTCCTGGGCTCAAGCGATCCTCCTGCCTCAGCTTCCCGAGGAGCTGGGACTGCAGGCATGCGCCACCATGCCCGGCTAAGTTTTTCTATATATTTTTAGTTGTCCGATTAATTTCTTTCTAATTTTAGTAGAGACGGGGGTCTCACTCTTGCTCAGGCTGGTTTCGAACTCCTGAGCTCAAACAATCCGCCCGCCTCGGCCTCCCAGAATGCTAGGATTACAGGCGTGAGCCACCCAGCCCGGCCTAAAAGGCTATTTTAAATGCAAAGAAGAGATCCTCTGTTGTAACAGGAGGAAGAAAGAGAATGGGAAGGGGCGTCCAAACTTAATTCGATTTGTGTTTGGTATGGGAGAGATGGAGGGATTGGTGTCTATTTTCTCCGTAATGAAAAAGGAGAGATTAACTGCTTCTGTGCGTGTAATTAACAAAGGTGCCTTGTAAACTAATTGTTTTATGTGTGGATAGATGCTTAGCTCTCCAACTGTTTCACAGATAGCTAAATACGTATCCATGCTCACAGTTGTGAGAACAGAAACAATAGATACTTAATAAATACTAGATTGATTTTGATTCTAAGGATGATGATGACAATGGTAAACGTGATGATGCTCTGAAGGCAAGGAAAAATTTAAGCTCCAAACCAGACCCTTATCCTGTCGGTGAGAGGAATGAGATTCACAGGGGGCGAGTCACTGCCCAAGCAAAGGAAATTCACCAGCACGCTCCTTTCTGGTCCAGGACCCTAAGGGTTAAGATCAACGAGAGTCAGCCGTCGTTCCTTCCTAGAGAGGCTCCGGCAAAGCCCGCCGGGGAAGATGGGTTAAGTTCCTGTTTCTGTCCTCCGAGTTTAAGCGTTTAGGACCCTGGGTGGCGGGGTGAGAAGGAGCAGGGGCTCCTTCTTCCGGGACCGCTGGGGCGGCTAGGGGTGCGGGGCGCCGGGGGTGCAGCCCCAGAACAGTGAGTTCCTTCTTGGGGCGGGGGAAGGGGGCCGAGGGCTGTGGGCAAGAGGAGCGGAAACTGCACCGCCCAGGCTGCAGCGCTCGTTCCGGAGCGGATCCTGCAGCTGCGAGGGGCGGAGGCCCAGCATCTCCCGCCCGCCCGGCCGCAGCGCCTTCCTCGCCTGCGGCGTCCCTTCAAAGATCCTGTCTGCCAGAGATGGTCTGGTCTCCTGGAACTTCGCCCCGCAGTGTCTCCAAGCTGTGGTCCCTCCAGCGGTTCTTAAAGCTAAGCTTCAGGCAGTGCATTTTCTTTGGAAGGCTTTCTGATCAAAGCATGGCCCCATCCTAATCACCTGTTTGCTCTTAAAAACAACCTTTCTCTGTGGAGTGACATCTTAAGGACAGCCTTTTAATACCATTTATGGCCTTGAATTTTCCGCCGTTTTGCTAAGCCAGAAGGGCTCCTTTACTACCAAATATAATAGTATTTTAGCAGGGAAAGTGATGGGACGGCAATCTGTTACCCAGACTCATGCTTCCTTTGTAAAATTTTGATAAAAATATGTGACTCAGACAGCAAAACATATTACTTCATTCGAACAACTCCACCCAACCCCTTTTTTTGCATTCAGGTAGATGTTTTTCTCACTCAAACACTGGGAATATGTGTAATTTAGATTAGTTTCACCTTTCTCTGGAACAAATCTCTAGTTAGTAAGTGAGCTTACAGAATGCCGACCCACTTTGGTATAAGGTTTAGGGATGTAGATCTCTTTTCTGAAAACCCAGTTAATATATTCTAAAATAAAGGTACTCTCTGAGGATCACTTGCAGTTTGGAATTATGCCTAGCTCTGCTTCTGGTTTTAGGTCACTGTAATAGATAAGAGTGTGAAAGTCAGCATGCAGTCAGACTTGGAGCTCAAACCTGCTCTACCACTTTCTGTGTGACCTTAGGAAAGTTTTTACTGCTTTTCTAACTCGTCTATGAAATGCTGGTAATTGTTCATATACTTCAAGGAGATACTCTTAAGTCAGAAATATGTACAAATTATTTAGTTCATTACCTGGCACATGATAGGCAGTAATAGGGTGAAAATTATAATTACAGTACATTATTTTTTTGTTTACTATGTGTGCCTTTGTATGTCCTTTTTTAGCTCTTATTTTTCCAAAAATTATCCTATACTTTATACCCTGAAATAGATGCCAAGGCCATATATAACTGCCTTCCAGTGGTACTTCTTCTGTTCCCTGAAAGTACATGAGGTATTATAGTTGGCTCCAGAAGATAAAGTTTAGGCTGAAGTAGGTATTGTGATTATAATAGACTTAGAAACTTAGAGCAAAGAAGGAAGAGGTCTCTCTTTAGTCTCCTTTCTCCTTTTTACATTTAGGGGTTATTGGCTATAGTTATTCCAGCCCTGCTTTGTCCTAATTTCTTATTACTGGTTATATAAATCCTAACTTTCCTTTGAAATTGACTTCAAAGGTTTCTTTCTTCTGTCAAAGACCAAGTTATTGTTTTGAAACTAGACAGGGTACTTTCTCTTCTTTAGCTCTTTCTTATACCTTCTGTTGATTTCTTAAAGTTGTTTTTTGTTTGTTGGTTTGGTTTTTTTTTTGAAGAGAGGGTCTTACTGTAGCCCAGGCTGGAGAGCAGTGGCACAATTATAGCTCACTGTAACTTCAAATTCATGGGCTCAAGCAATCCTCCTGCCCAAGCCTCCTGAGTAGCTGGAACTACAGGCATGTGCCACCATACCCAGCTAATTTTTAAATTTTTTGTAGAGATAGAGTCTTGTTATGTTGCCCAGGCTAGTCTCAAACTGCTGGCCTCAAGCGATCCTCCTGCCTTGACCTCCAAAAGTGCTGAGATTACAGGGATGAGTCACTGAGCCCCACTCCTTGAGGTCTTTATAAGTTTTATTATTGGTGCCTTTTCTAAAAAATTACTTTGTTTTTTCAATTAAAAGTGTTCCTAAGCTATGAGTGGATACTATTAGTATTCATTCTACTTTAAAATCTTGATCCTCAGACCTTTAATGTTAAGATTTAATTATTTGAATTGTTATTTCTTTAGAAAAGATTAATCAGGCTAACAAGTCTAAATACTTGTTTCTGAGATAAGATTTTTCTAATAGGCCTTCCAAGAGCCATATTTCTCATTTTCAGCATGGTTGACAGAAAATTGTGTGCCTACTATTGTTACGTTGCAATGGTTGGGAAGGAAGGAGGAAGAATACACTTTAACAAATGTCTCCAAGCATAATATGTTTCCTTCCACAGGATTTCTGATCCCTGACCTTGCTGTGATCATTGTGATGGAACAAGAAAAAGAATTGTTGATCTCATATTCTAATGGCTTCATGGAGAAGGAGAGTTTGAAAAGCCCCTTCACAGGTGAGGGATCAAGAAGATGATCTGAATCCTTAGGAAATTTGTTACAAGATGTGCTAACAGAGTATGTAGAAAGAACGGCATTAGAATGTGACAAACCCTAAATTGATTCCCTGCTCTGTCACTATAAGCTATGTTAATTCTTTCAGCCTTAGTTTTCTCATCTTTAAGAAAAAAAATGAATGATAATATCTGTTTCACATGTATTTTAGAATTAATGAGATGCCATGTGTAAAGCTACTATTCTTAATAAATCTAGTGGCTATTGTTATTTCTGTAGTATTTGCTCAGATTTTAACAAGGCAATTGTCTGGTTTCCACCACAGATGGGATCCTGTTCAATTTCACCCCTATTCAAATGCCCCTTTTTCTAAGCCTTCTAGAATAAAATTGAATGCATTTATTTTTAGATCGATATCCCTTTTGGCAATTTTTGACAATGGTTCAAATAATTTATTAGTATTGTTACTAAGTACAAAAAATTCACTTGCTTCTGGTGAACACAGGGAAAAGAAGCAAAACTAGCTTTAAAAACTTTTTATGTAATATAATTTATGAGGTTTTACATTGTTATTCCCTCTCTTCCACTGCAATTTGGAATTTACTTCTCTGGTAGAGATTTGGAAATACGTTTAGTGTATTTGTTTATTCTTGCAGAAGATGAAAGTAAGAATAATTTGGAAACTTTTCAACACAATAATCCTAAGGCAGATAAACTTAAAGAGAGAGCTTCAAATTGGTCTAAAAGAAATGGCCCACAAAATTCTCAACATGAGGATACAAAAGAAATGCCATTGACAGCATCCCAAGGAGATGACATTTGGTCTCAAGATTCCTATGAGAATAATGTCAAGTTAGAGAATTGGGGAAATTCTGTAGGGAAAGAAGAGGAAAAACCAAATTACCAGGAATGGGACCCAGGAAAACATACCAGTGCTTCTGTCCAGCAGAATTCATCCTTTGGAGACAAGCCCTACAAATGTTCTGAATGTCGGAAAAGCTTCAGTAAGAGTTCCCATTTGCGTTCTCACCAGAGGACCCACTCGGGAGAAAAGCCTTATAAGTGCTCTGAGTGTGGGAAATGCTTTTGTAACAGTTCTCACCTGATTCAGCATCTAAGAATGCACACAGGAGAGAAGCCCTACCAGTGTGGTGAATGTGACAAAAGCTTCAGCAATACCTCCCATCTTATTATCCACCAGAGAACTCACACGGGAGAGAAACCCTATAAGTGTCCCGAGTGTGGGAAGAGTTTCAGTAGCAGCTCTCACCTTATTCAGCATCACAGATCACATACAGGTGAAAAACCATATGAATGTCCTGTTTGTGGAAAAGGTTTCAGCCACAGCTATGTCCTAACAGAACATCAGAGGACTCACACTGGAGAAAAACCTTATAGGTGCCCTGATTGTGGGAAGAATTTTAGACAGAGTTCCAGCCTTATTCGCCACCAGCGGACACACACAGGTGAGAAGCCCTACAAATGTTTTGAGTGTGGAAAAAACTTTGGTTGTAATTCTACTCTAAAAAAGCATCAGAGAATACATACAGGAGAAAAACCCTATCAGTGTCTAGAATGTGGGAAGAATTTTAATCGAAGTTCAAACCTTATTACACACCAGAAAACACACACAGGAGAGAAATCCTATGAAAGTTCTGAATATGAAGAAAGTTCGAGTCAGAACTGCAATGTGATGGAAGAATGTAGAACCCAGCCAGAGGAGAAACCATATAAATGTGAATGTGGAAAGAGTTTCGGCCTTAGCTCCCATCTCATTAGACATCAGAGAACACATACAGGAGAAAAACCTTACAGATGTTCTGAGTGCTGGAAAACTTTTAGTCAGAGCTCCACACTGGTGATTCACCAAAGGACACACACGGGAGAGAAACCTTATAAATGTCCTGATTGTGGTGAATGCTTCAGTCAAAGCTTTAACCTCATCAGGCACCGGAGAACCCACATAGAAAAAAAACCTTACAAATGTACCAGCTGTGAGAAATGCTTCAGTAGAAGTGCCTATCTCAATCAGCATCGGAAAATTCACATAAAGTCCTTTGAGTCTCCTGAAGTTGGAGATTTTCCTCATGAATGACTTGGAAAAACTATTCAAAGGAAATACCCCTTATCCCTTCATCTTCAGTCTCAAATTCATCTTTTTCCTGAGTCCCAAAGCCTTGTTGTTTCCAGCCCCCAACCCTTCCCACCCCCTCCATTGGACCATTACGATTAAGGTATCGTGATCATTGTGCTATACAGTTTCTTTGGAGTATTTGTCAAAACATTTGGAAAATCTCAACCTCTCACTTTAGAGGATGGGAAGACCCAGGTCACCAGGTTATTGGATTTGTCCTGTGAGAGATACTCCCAAGGATGAAGAAAAAGGAGAATTTTTTTTTATTATTTAAGGTAAGATAGGGATAGCTTCAAAGGAACACATAAAGAGTGATCCTAGGAGTAATAAGTAAAAGGACTTGAGAACTTGAAGCTAGGATTGTTACTGAATTACCTTATTTTCTTTTGCCTTATGGGTAGAGATAAATCATTATTGGTCTCATGGGTTTACCCAGAGAAAGGATCTTTTTGAACAAATAATGTGATTTCCCGGATGTTTTGTTGGGTCTTAAGAAAAAAAGATTCATATTTTAAATGCATTTTTATTCACTTAAAATTAACTTTTATAGCATCTAGAACTGCACCATCCAATATCATACCCTCTAGCCATATGTGGCTATTTAAATTTATATTAATTAATTTATACTTAGATGAATGTAATTTAAAATCCAGTTCCTTGGTCACACTAGCCACTTGCTAAGGCTTGGTAGCCACATGTGACTAGTGTCTGCTGTATTGGATGTCACAGAAGGAAGGTTCTTTCTCTCAGGATCATCATTCTTGACAGACTAGTAAATATTTTGCATAAGACTGTAGGAATATGCTCTGGGGTTTTTGCTCTCCAAAAGGAATTGCAATATAGAGTAGAAATGGGATAGAGTTTTGAAGGTACTGGGTCTAAAGATTGGATATTCTAATAATTATGTGTTATAATTTATGTGCAGCCAACTGGGTTATCTAGTGACTGCCTTGACCAAAGCCAGAATAGTAGGTAGGATTCTTGAATTCTGTTTATAAGTTTTTGACAGAGTCTTTTCCCTGAGTTTTCCCATTATGTAATTCTGGGTCAGCTCCAGAACTCTTTTTTTCCCCTCCAATAATTAATCCACTAATTCTGAGCCAGTGTCCAAGGACAGTTTGCCATTGGACACCGAGATTCCTTAGCTCCAGTACTGGCAATTTTCTTTTGCCTCTTAACATACTTGGTATATGGATCTCATAACTAGGACATCATCTTCCCTACTCATCTGTACTATGGGAATAATGCTTTGGAAAGTTTTAGATATATCCTATTCTCCCTCTCCTATTTTTTCCTCCTTTTGCAAAAGGCAGATGGGTAGGAAGGTTAGGACTTCTGAGTTGCCCAGGATTTCATCTCACTTTTGGATGCAAAATATATTTTATTAAGAATATGTAGAGACACATGTTAGGAATATGGAGCCAGTTCTGGCTGCTGCAAAGGGCTGTAGCTGGAGGGTAAATGGATTGCATGGGGATTATTTCATTTTTCATGATCGTGGTGCACCTGATACTGGCAAGGCAATTGTCTGTTTTTGTATTGTTTATTATTTAAAAATAAAGCAACAGCTAACAAATAAAGGTATGTAAGAAGTATTTGAGGGTGATTTTATGCTTTCAAAAGGGGAAAATATTTAGGGGCATTGTTGGCTTTTATGTGACTCTCACCTAAGCATCTTTCAACCTTGTGTGTTATATAATATTGCCCAAATTTTCCTAAATTTTAATATCTCAGGACAAGTTTTTATAGTATTTTTTTTTTTTACCACAGACAACTAAGAGCACCCCTCCTTCCAGTAAAGTAGAAATCAAGTCAAAGCTGAGGATAGTCCAGAGGGTGGGGCTTGGTTATAAGGATACAAATGGAAACAGGGTGCCTGGCAGTCGTGACATGGTGGGTTTGTAGCCTCCTCCAGGCAGAGGTAGTTTGTAGGTGTTAAGACAGCCAGGTTTCTGATCTAACATTGCTTGACCCAAGTAAAATTAGTATATAATCTAGCATTTGACAGATTGAGGGATAGAATGGAAGCTTAGCTGCAAATTGGCCATGATTAATTTTGAGCCATGCTAAGTCATGGATAAATGTTCACATAAGAAGATATTAGTTAATTAGACTGATAAATACAGGTGAAAGATCTTCCACGTTAACATTGCTTATTTTCTGATCATTAAAGTAATACGTGCTAATTGTCAAACTTACAAGGAATTATAAATTAGGAAATACATGAAAGTATGAAGATCAAAATTAAAATGATCCATAAATTTCTCTAGAGATTACTCACCGTGAAAGTTCTGGGGTCTTTCCTAACAACCTCTTTTCTAAGCATATATATGAGTAAATATTTTTTAAAATCGGATCATACAGTATATGTATTGTGTCTTGATTTTTTAAAAATATTATTTGTAATTTTAGAATTATTATTATGAAACCAGGTGTGGTGGCTTGAGCCTGTAATCCCAGCTACTTGGGAGGCTGAGGCAAGAGGATCACTTGAGGCCAGGAGTTCGAGACCACCCTGGGCAATATAGTGAGACCCTGTTTCTAAAAAATGAAATAAAATAATTATTATGAGGTTCTTAATGGCTTCATATTATTAAACTGAATGGATGTGCCCTAACAATTTAATTATCCTAGTGTTGGACATTTGTAGTGTTTCTACTTGCTTGCTATTAAAAATAACACTGCTGTGAACAAAATTTTGTGGTTTTGTTTTGGTGTTGTAGTTGTGATTGTTTAGTGTTGCTTTTCTTCGTTTTTTTGCATGCAAATCTTAGTGTACACATCTAATTATTTCTTTAGAGTGAAATAGAGGTAGGATTATTAAGTCAACGGACATAAATGATTTTAAAGGCATATTGGTTAATAGAAATTTTATCAATTTAAATTACTCCAGTAAAGTAATTTTTTGCTAAACACCTTTTGGGAGGGGGCAGAGAAAAGCGAATCATATGAAAAAAATGTATAATAATATATAGAGTTACATATTATAATTCAAGACAAATACATTAATATGATGAAAACCTTCTTTTAAGGCAGTTTTTTTTAGATAATCTTTTTCCTCCTCTCCCCCCTTGGGTTAGGATCAGCTAAGATTCATCTTGGGTTGAATCATTTTAAAAACTACTTTGGCTTTTCCTTTTGCTGCCCTGGTTACAAGTTTCAATGGTATCACTAGGAGCTGCTCTAAGAACTAGGGAAGTGAGACAAGATTTTGGTACCAGGAGTGGTTGTAAAGAAACAGAATTTTAAGGATGAATTTCCATAATTAGTTTTGGGGTTTCTGGAATTGTTTCTCTAATCTGATTAGACGTAAAAGTGCTAAGGAGTCTATATGTAATAGTATAGAGAGCACTGAAAATCCACGGTGTGCTCCATTTATAGATATACAAAAAATAAATACATTTAATAGTAATACTTCTAAGAAGCAAGGAACTTAGTGACTCTGTACATGAATATAATGATTTTGCTTGGTTCCATCACTGGACAAAATGATGAAAGTAAAGGATGAGCCCAGGGATTCGAATGCTAGACTCCAGATGCACATAAATAGCCTAAAAGCTTTTCAGTGTGCCCTGAAGGAGAATCTTCTCTCCTCTAGTCATAGGGTTGAAATTGCCGAAAATCAAACAAACCTTCATCATGTGATTGGTGAGGTGAACTCTCAGCCTCGCAGGTTGTCCACTTTTTTTTTTTTTGACTTCATTATGAATTTGAGCAGGTTGTCTACTTTTAAAGTGAAGGCACTGACTGGGAAAGAAGGGGAATCATTGGATCCTGGGGTTGCAGAACTCAATGACCAAAGGCAAGATGCACACAATCGATGGGCAGCAGAGGTAAAGCAGCAATCAGAGTAGTCTGACTCGTGTAGACCTTTGGTATTGGCTAATTAGTCATGGTGTTCCTAGAAGTGAACAGATGGGAAGCCCACTGCATTCTTACTTGATCTGTATAAGCAGAAAACTCCCAGGTCAAGTGAACAAAAAGCCTACTCGGATTATAAAAACAGAGTCATGGCCCCTTAGTCAAATTCCAGACAGGAGCCGGTTTACAGATTCAGAACCCCTTGAATGAAGGTGAGGCTGGATCCACTTGCGGAAGGATCTCAGTACACTATTGCACTTTGCTTCCAAGGAGAAATGGCCAGATGTGCGATTATGTGCTGATTCATGGGCTGTAGCCAATGGTTTGGTTGGATGGTCGGGAACATGACTGGAAAATTGGCGACAAAGAAGTTTGGAGAAGTATGTGGATAGGCTTCTCATGATATTTTATCTCGTGAATACTCATCAAAGAGTGTCCTGAGCAGAGGAGGATTTTAATAATGAAGTGAATAGGATAACTCATTCTGTGGATACCAGTCAGTGTCTTTCCCCAGCCATCCCTGTTGTCACCCAATGGGCTCATGAACAGAGTGGCTGTGGTGGCAGGAATGGAGGTTATGTGTGGGCTCAGCAACATGGACTCCTATTCATCAAGGCCAACCTAGCTATGGCCACTGCTGACCACCCAGTCTGCCAGCACTGCAGACATGGCACAACTCCCCAGAGTGATCAGCCAGCTCCCCAGTGGCAAGTTGATTACATTGGACCATTTCCATTGTGGAAGGGGCAGTGTTTTGACCTTACTGGAATAGATAATCCCTCTGGATACAGTTTGCCTTCCCTGCCTGCAATGCTTCTGCCAACACTACCATCCATGGACTTACAGAATACCTTGTCCACCACCATAGTATTCCACACAGCGTTGCTCTGACCAAGGAACCCACTTCACAGCCAAAGAAGTGTGGCAGTGGGCTCATGCTCATGGAATTTACTGGTCTTGCCATGTGCCCCACCATCCTGAAGCAGCTGGCTTCATAGAACAGTGGAATGACTTTTTGAAGTTGCAGTGACAATACCTTGCAGGCCTGAAGCAAAGTTCCCCACAAGGCTCTATATGCTCTGAATCTGTGTCCAATATATGGTACCGTTTCTCCCATGGCCAGGATTCACAGTTCCAGGAATCAAGGGGTGGAAATGGGAGTGGCATTACTCACTATTACCCCTAGTGACCCACTGGCAAAACTGTTGCTTCCTGTTCCTACGATGTTATATTCTGTTGGCCTAGAAGTCTTAGTTCCAGAGGGAAGAATGCTTCCACCAGAAGACAGTAGGTTGGTGCAAAAGTAATTGCGGTTTCAGACCGTGAATTTTAAATCGT